CAGACAGACAGACAGACAGACAAAAAAGAAAAACAGACAAAGAGAAAGAGAGAGAGGGAGAAAGAGATTACCAGAGCCTCTTCTCTTACCAAACCACAAACTCCGAAATCTGCCTGTGTCGACAGTTCCTTGTTTCTCTTGCTGTGCTGTCATTCTCGCGAGTTATTTGTTTTCCTTCTTGATCTTCTTCCGTTTCTATCTATTTTCTACATTTTCGCTACACTTGTCCCTCCCTTGTTTCCAAATGGCATTTTTTTCTTTTATTTCTCTTCTAGGTCAAATGTGTTTCATTTTGCTTACTATTGTCTTTTCGTTTTCTTTTTTCTCTTCTCTTATTCATTCCCTGTTTTGTCTTGCCTTTCTTTTCGTTTTTCTCTCATGATTCGCATTATTTTCCTTCCCTCTCCCTTCTTATCTTTCCTTTTATTTGCCTCTTCCTTTTATTTCCTCTCCCTCCTTCTCTTCCGTTTCATCTTCCTTCCTCCTCTCCCTTCTTCCTTCCCTTCCTTCCATTTTCCCTGTCCCACCTTTACTTCTATTTCCCTCCTTTTCCTCTTTTTCTCCCCTCTTCGATGTTTTTTTTTTCCTCCATCTTTTTCTTCCCCTTCTCTCCCCCTCTACTTCTCGTTTCTCTCCTTCGCTCTTCTTTCTCTTCATCACTTCTTCCTCTTTATCTCCTTCCCTCTCCCCTCAATTCTTCTTCTATAACCCTCCTCCCTCCTTCCATTATCCCCCACGTCCCTTCCCTTCTTCCTTTCCATTTCCCCTTCGTTCTCTTCCTTCTCTCCACCCCTTTCTCCTCTTCCCCTTTTTTCTCCTTCCTCCTATCCACTCTTTTCTTCATCATCATCTCCTCCTGCTCTTTCTCCTCTCCCTCCTTCCTTTTCTTTATCTTCCCCTACTCTTCCCCTTGTTCTCTTCACCCTCTCCCTTCCTCTTCCCCTCTCTCCACCTCCCTCCTCTTCCTCTCTCCTCCCACCCCTCCCTCCTCGTCCTCCTTCCCACCCCTCCCTCCTCGTCTCCTTCCCCACCCTCCCTCCCTCCTCTTCCTCCTTGTCCTCCAACCCTCCCTCCTCTTCCTCCTCCTCCCTCCTCTCCTCCTCTCTACCCCTCTCTCCTCTCCTCCTGCCCACCCCCTCCTCCTGCTTTCCTCTCCCTCTTCCTTCTTCCAATCCACTTTTTCCCTTCCCACGGCAATGAAAGCCGCCTGAGGTCGCTCTTCTGCTCCATCGCGCCCTCCGCTTTCGAAGACACGCAAGGGAAAGACATTATATGATTATCTATCTATCTATCTTTCTTTCTTTCTTTCTGTCTTTCTTTCTTTCTTCTTCTTATCTTTCTTTTTCTTTTTTTCTTTTTTCTTTTTTCTTTTTTCTTTTCTTTTTATCTTTATCTTTTTGATCTTTTGTGTGCGTTTGTTTCTTTTTTCTTTTTTCTTTTTTCTTTTTCTTTCTTTCTTTCTTTCTTTCCTTTCTTTCTTTCTAATCTACCTCTCTACTCTCTATCTCTCATATCTATCATATATTTTATCTATCTATTCTATCTATCATCTATCGTACTATCTTATCTATCTATCTATCTATCTATCTATCTAGTACTATCTATCTATGTATTATATAAATTCACTGGCGAAAAATCCTCTATGGATCTCTTTTTGCACAAAAAGTAAAGATACATAAAATAATACATAAATAAAAGACAATGGTGATAAATCATGATGAATAATAATACTGCGTAACCAATTAAGAACGCAAAAAAAACGGAGAGGGAGGGAGGGAGAGAGGTAGGGAGGAAGAAAGGAAAGGGAGAGAGGGAGGAGGAGGGAGGGAGGGAGGCGAAGGGAGGGAGGAGAGGGAAGGAGGGAGGGAGAGAGGAGGAGGAGGGAGAGAGGAGAGGGGAGAGGAGGTAGGGGGAGGGGAGGAGGGAGAAGGAGGAAGAGAGGGAGGGCGGAGGAGGGAGGGAGAGGAGAGGGAGAAGGAAGAGAGAGGCAGAGAGAGAGAGGAGAGAGAGGAGGAGAGAGAAGAGAAGTAGAGATGAAGAAGAGAGAGAGAAGAGAGAGAGAGAGGCTGGGAGAAACGGAGGAGGAGGAATGATAGAGGGAGGGAAGAGGAGGAGAGAGGAGAGGAGGACAGGAATGAGGAGGGAGGTAGAGAGGGTGGAACAAGGAGGAGAAAGAGGAGGAGGAGGAGGAGGAGAGAATAAGAAAAGAGAGGAGGAGGAGAAGAGACAGGGGCAAAGAGAGAGGGGAGGGTAGGGGGTTGGGGTTAGACAGCTTGCCGACGATGAGGGGGGGGGCGCTCCCCTACCACGTCTTGCCTTTCCGTATTTCCCTTTATTCCTATTTTCATTGGAGAAACCCCTCCTCTTCTTTCTGTCTCTCTCTCTCTCTTTCTTCTCTCTCTCTCTCTCTCTCTCTCTCGTTCTTCTCTCTCTCTCTCTTTCTATTTCTTCTCTTCTCTCTCTCTCTGTCTCTCTCTCTCTTTCTATTTCCTTCTCTCTCTCTTTCTATTTCTCTCTCTCTCTCTCTTCTTTTCCTTTCATTTTCCTTCCCTCAATTCCCCTCTTACACCCCTACCCAAACCCACACCACCACCCAAACCCATACCCATACACACAACCCCCACCCACCCACCACCCCACCTCCCACCCACAAACCCCACCCACCCACCACCCACAAAACCCCCACCCACCCACCACCCACCCCACCCACCCACAAACACCCACCCACCACCCACCACAAACCCCCACCCCCACCCATCACCCAACCCCACCCACCCACCCACCCACCCCCACCATCGGGCGCGCTCCCTCCTCGGCGCTCTTTCTCTGTGTAATTCTACCTGGTTCTCGCGCAAGATGATAAGAGGATATCTAAAGACCGGGTCGAACAGACCTCGAGGAGAAAATATTGTTTACTCGACAAACAGCAAGCTCGCGCCAGGCGGGAATATTGGCTGTTGGCTGAACTTTCCTCCCTCCTCCCTCCTCCTCCCTCCCCCTCACGTTCCACCTTCGGCTCTCTCCTTCCTCCTCATCTTCCTCCTCTTCCTTCTTCCTTCCCCTCCTCCCTCTCTCTTCCTTCCCCTCCCCCTCCCCTTCCACCTTCGGTCTCTCCCTCCTCATTTCTCTTCCTCTCTCCTTTCTTCCTTCCCTCCCCCTCCTCTCCTTCTCATTCTCCTTTCCTTCCTTCTTCTCCCTTCCCCTCCTCTCTCTCCCTCCCTCCCCTTCTCTCACGTTCCACCTTCGTCCCTCCTCTTCCTCTCTCTCTCTCTCTTCCCCTTATCCCTCCTCTTTCACCTCAGTCTCTCCCTCCTCATTCTCCTTTCCTCCACTCCCTTTCCCTTCCCTTCCCCTTACCTTCCACCTTTCCCTCTCTCTCCCTTCCCTTCCCCTCCTCTTCCACCTTCCCCCTTTCTCTCCTCATTCTCCCTTTCCATTCCTCTCCCCTTTCACCTTCCTCCTCTCGCTCTCCCTCCTCATTCTCCATTCCTCCTCTCCCCTCCCTTCCCTTCCTTCCTCTCCCCCTGATGAAGCTCGTAGGGAGGGGTGGGGTGAAGGGTGGAGAGTGGAGTGGGGAAGGGTAAATGGGGGGGGGAGAGAAGGGGGTTGGGAAAAGAAGGCGGAGACGGTTGGGAATGGAGGGGAGAGGGTAAAGGTCGGAGGAAAAAAGAGGGATTGGGAAAAGAAAGGGAGAGAAGAGTAGAAGAGAAGAAGAAGAAGAAGAAGAAGAATAAGAATAAGAATAAGAAGAACAAGAAGAGAGAGAGAGAGAGAGAGAGAGAGAGGAGAGAGAGAGAGAGAGAGAGAGAGAGAGAGAGAGGAGAGAGAGAAGAGAGAAAGAGAAGAGAAGAGAACGAGAAGAGAAAGAGAAAGAGAGAAAGAGAAAAGAAAAGAAAGAGAAAGAGAAAGAAAGAAAAAAAAAAGAAAAAAAAAAAAAAGAAAAAAAAAAGAAAGAAAGAGAAAAAGAAAGAAAAGAGAAAGAAGAGAAACGAAAGAGAGACGGAAGAGCCTCTCACTTAGCCAGCGCCAGCAACTCGTCTCCTCCCCAGACCTGCACCGCATCGCCCGGACTCCGATCAGCCAATTCATGTGTCTGTCAGCTGTTCGAGTCTCGTTTGATGAATGCTTCGCGAAGGAAAGAGGGAATAAATAGAGGTAGATAGGTGGGTGGATAGGTAGGTAGAGAGGTAAATAGGAGGAGGAAAGAGAGAGATATACGATATGTATACATGCATACAGACAGAGACAGACAGACAGACAGAGAGACATATAGACAAACAGAAAGATCGACAAACATATAGGGGAAGGGAAACATGAGAGAAAGGAGGGGAAAGAGAAGGATGGATAAGAGATTTAAGAAGAAACCCAGATAGCCAAGAGAGAGAAAGGACTGAGAAAGAGAAAGGGAAAGCAAGGAAAAGAGAGACGACAAAAAATGATAAATAAGGATAGAGATACACAAAACCCAAGACAAAAAAAATACAAACTATAAACACACCGATAAATATAACACAAACAAACAAAGAAAGAGAAAAAAGAGGCAGAGACATTCCCTACCTTCACTCCCCCCCTCCTCCACCCCTCCCCACCCCCCCACAAAAGTAAATGCACCCCACTGAGCCATCTTCCTCAAGACCCTATGTTATTGGTTCTTCTCCTCTTCCTATTTTTACCACCTCATTCCCCTTGACCTGGAGGACTTGAGGAGAATGGGAGGTAGGAGGAGGAGGAAGAGGAAGAGGAGGAGGAAATGTTGGGAGGGGGAGGTAATAGGAGGAGCAGGAGGAGGCGGAGGAGAAAAAGAAAGAGGAGGAGGAGGAGGAAAGGAGAAGGAAAAAGAGAGAGGAAGAGGAAGGAGGGGGATGGCAAACAGGAACTGGAGTAAGAGGACGGGAAAAAGGAAACTGCAGAATGGGATTAGATAAGGGCGAAGGACGTAGCAATGGGCAGGGCAATGGGGAGCCAGGAATGGGAACGAGGGCGGGAATGGGGAGCCAGGAATGGGAACCGGGAATGGGGAGCCAGGAAACGAGGGCGGGAATGGGGGAGCCAGGAATGGGAACGAGGGCGGGAATGGGGAGCCAGGAATGGGAACGAGGGCGGGAATGGGAGCCAGGAATGGGAAGGAAGACGGGAATGGGGAGCCAGGAATGGAACGAGGGCGGGAATGGGAGCCAGGAATGGGAAAAGGGACGGGATGGGGAGCCAGGAATGGGAACGAGGGCGGGAATGGGGAGCCAGGAATGGGAACGAGGCGGGAATGGGGAGAGGAATGGACGAGGGCGGGAAATGGGAGCCCAGGAATGGGAACGAGGGCGGGAATGGGGAAATGGGAAGAGGACGGGAATGGGGAGCCAGGAAATGGGAACGAGGGCGGAATTGGGGAGGCCAGGAATGGGAACGAGGGCGGGAATGGGGAGCCAGGAATGGGAACGAGGGCGGGAATGGGAAATGGGAAAGGGCGGGAAATGGGGAGCAGGAATGGGAACGAGGGCGGGAATGGGGACGAGGGCGGGAATGGGGAGCCGGGAATGGAGCCAGGAATGGGAACGAGGGCGGGAATGGGGAGCCAGGAATGGGAACAGGAATGAATGGAACGAGGGCGGGAATGGGAGGAATGGGAACGAGGGCGGGAATGGGGAAAGCCAGGAATGGGAACGAGGCGGGAATGGGGAGCCAGGAATGGAACGGGGCGGGAATGGAAAGGAAGACGGGAATGGGGAGCCAGGAATGGGAACGAGGGCGGGAATGGGGAGCCCAGGAATGGGAACGAGGCGGGAATGGGGAAGGAATGAATGGGAGCCAGGAATGGGAACGAGGGCGGGAATGGGGAGCCAGGAATGGGAACGAGGGCGGGAATGGGGAGCCAGGAATGGGAAGGAAACGAAGGAGCGGGAATGGGAAGAGGGCGGGAATGGGGAGCCAGGAATGGGAACGAGGATGGGGAGCAGGAATGGGAACGAGGGCGGGAATGGAAAGGAAGACGGGAATGGGGAGCCAGGAATGGGAAACGAGGGCGGGAATGGGAGCCAGGAATGGGAACGAGGGCGGGAATGGGGAGCCAGGAATGGGAACGAGGGCGGGAATGGGGAGCCAGGAAATGGGAAACGAGGGCGGGAATGGGGAGCCAGGAATGGGAACGAGGGCGGGAATGGGGAGCCAGGAATGGGAACGAGGGCGGGAATGGGGAGCCAGGGATGGGAACGAGGCGGGAATGGGAAACACGGGAACAGGAGCCAGGAATGGGAACGAGGGCGGGAATGGAAAGGAAGGCGGGAACAGGGAGGGGAATGGAACGAGGGCGGGAATGGGAAAGGAAGGCGGGAACAGGAGCCAGGAATGGGAACGAGGCGGGAAAGGGAAAGGAAGGCGGGAATGGGAGCCAGGAATGGGAACGAGGGCGGGAATGGGAAAGGAAGACGGAACAGGGAGCCAGAATGGGAACGAGGGGCGGGAATGGGAAAGGAAGGCGGGAACAGGGAGCCAGGAATGGGAACGAGGCGGGAATGGAAAGGAAGCGGGAACAGGAGCAGGAATGGAAAGGAGGACTGGAATGGCCGCTCGTCTCACACACACACACGAGCGCAACACTCCCTGGAACGGACGCAATCGAGGGCCCCGGCGTGGCACTGCCTGCTTGCGGCTCTCACCCCCCGAGCGTGGCACTTCGGGGATATAGATTGATATAGAAGCTATATTTAGTCTGTACAGGCACGCGCGCACGCACCAAGATTTTATCTGGTCTAGTTTTCCACACACTCAACGTGCTCTATATTGTGATCGGCTATTTTTACATTCGCACCGTATATATACACATGTATCATACGATATAGATACACACACACCACACACACACACACACACACACACACACACACACACATATATATATATATATATATATATATATATATATATTATATATATATATATGTGTATTATATATATGTAATATGTATATATATATATATATATATATATATATTATATATATATATATTATACACACATAGATAAACACGCACACACACATATATATCGAGGGCCGGCACATATATATATATATACTATATATATATATATATATATATATATAATATTATATATATGATATGGTAGTGTGTGTGTGTGTGTGTGTGTGTGTGTGTGTGTGGTGTGTGTGTGTGTGTGTGTGTGTGTGTGTGTGCGTGTGGTCGTGCGTTTGCGTGCCTTGTGCGCATGTGTGCGTCAACAGAAAAACAACAGCGCCCGCAACGAGGCATCGCTTACCAGTACCTGGCGTCTCCTGGGCGTGGTTCTCCTCGGCGGAAGAGGCCTCGTGGTGGGTGGGGGCGCCGCACTCCCGTCGAACCTGCGCCCGAGAGAAGAAAAAGAAGTCAGCAAATCTCATCTCATTACTATACGGGATTCATATCATCACTGTAAAATCAAGGGCTTTTTAAATTATTCTTTTGTCTGTTGTATAATCGGCTTTATATCAACATTGTACTGCAGCTATTATTATGGCAGCGATTTTTATGTTCTTGTACTGTGCACCGACGTCGCCTACAATGCCAAGACATAATCAAAATATTTGCGTCCATAATTAAATACCCTGAATGCAGCAATTAAAGAACAAGTGGGTAAACAGCCTGCCGGGAGGCTTTAAACACAAACACTAAAAGAAACACAAACACAAACAATAAGCATCTACATCAGAATACACACGAAGATGTGAACAAACAAACCAACAAACCAACCAACAAACTCGACCAACACACGACTAAACAACCCACAGACACGCAAAACACAGACAGACAACGACAGATAAATAAATAAATTCATAAAAAGTCTCCATAAAAGCGAGGTAGGCCTACAGTGTACCCCAGATCCGGCCGCCCTTCAAAAGCCGACTGTCTGCCGACTGTCCCGAAATGATACAACGGACCGATCGATGCGCCAAGCCAGCCGAGCGACAGTAATTCTAGTTCTTGTCATTCCCCGTGACAGTCAACATTAATGACAGGTGGGGGAGGGAGATGGGAGGGGGGAGGGAGGGGAGGGAGGGAGATGGAGGGAGGGGAGGGGGAGATGGGAGGGGAGGGAGGGAGATGGGAGGGAGGAGATGGGGAGGGGATGGGGGAGGGAGGGAGAGGAGATGGGAGGGAGGGAGATGGAGGGGAGGGGAGGGAGGGGAGGGGAAGGGAGGGGGGAGGGGAAGGGGGGGAGGGGAGGGAGATGGGAGGGAGGGAGCGGGAGGGGGAGGCGGAGGGGGAGATGGGAGGGGAGGGGAGGGAGGGAAGGGAGGGAGGGAGGGAGGGAGGGAGGGAGATGGAGGGGAAGGGAGGGGAGGAGATGGGAGGAGGGAGGGAGGGAATGGGAGGGGAAGGAGGAGGGGAGGGGAGGGGAGGGAGGAGATGGGAGGGAGGGGGGAGGGAATGGGAGGGGAGGGAAGGAGGAGATGGAGGGGGAGGGGAGGGATGGGAGGGCAGGAAGGGAGTGTGGAGGGGAGGGAAGAGGAAGACAGAGAAGAGAAGGGGGGAGGGTAGGTCTCTCCCTCTCCCGTACCCCCCCTTCTACTAACTTCTTCTCCCCCACGGGTTAAAACGAGAAAAGAAAAATGGACGACAAAGTAACATAAACGAAAAAAGTAGAATGATGACACAAGAGACATAAAACCCTGTCATTATCATATTTATTACCAATCTGTCTTTCATTTTCTATTTCCTTCTCTCTTGTCATTAGCATATTTTTAAAATCTATCTTTCGTGTTTTCTTTTTCTCTCTGTATTGACATTATCATATATTTTTTTCTATCTATCTTTCCTGTTTGTTTTCTCTCTCTCTTGACATTATCATATTCTCTATCTCCCATGCTTTGTCTTTTTCTCGTCATTATATTATTTTTAGTCTGTTTTTCACGTTATGTCTCCGTTTCATGCCATTACCAACATCATTTTTCTTCTAATTATATCTATAATGTCTCATTTATGCCTTCTCCTATTTTCATCTTATCTGTCTCATACTTTTGCCTGTCTACTTTTCTCTCTCTATCTCTCCCCCCTCACTCCTCTCCTCCCTCCCTTCCTCCCTCCCTCATTCCTCTCTCTCTCTCTCTCTCGCTCTTTCTCTCTCTTTCTCCCTCTCTCTCTCTCTCTCTCTCTCTCTCTCTCTCTCTCTCTCTCTCTCTCTCTCTTCTGTCTCTCTCTCTGTCTCTCTCTCTCTCTCTCTCTCTCTCTCTCTCTCTCTCTCTCTCTCTCAAAACTGAGAGCAAAGTGAACACGCTCTATTATGCAATGCAAGCGTGACAAAGCAATGGAAAACACATGAAAGCATTTTTAGTTAGTGATGATATGAGAGAAATAAGCAATAAAGAAGAGAGAAAGAAGAAAGAAGAGAAATTGAGATAAAGAGTTAGAGAAAAAAGAAGAAGAGAGAAAGAGAAAAAGAGAAAGAAAAAGAAAAAGGAGAAAGACAGAAAAGAAAAGACAAAAAAAAAAAAAAAAAAGAGAAAAAGAAGAGAAGAAGAAGAGAAGAAGGAAGAAAGAAGGAAGAGAGAAAGAGAAGCAAGACAAGAGGCCCACTGCACAGAGAGAGAGCCAAGGACTTCAGAAGACAAATTCGGTTTAATTGATGGGAAAGACATATCTTGCGTTCTAATGGCGGTGTATTTTCTTTCTTTTTTCTTTACAGAGAGACAGAAAGAGAAAGAGAAAGGAGAGAATAGAAGGAACAGCGATAAAATGAGATGTGTGTCAGTGAGTGGGAGTGAGAGAGAGATGAGAGAGAGAGAGAGAGAGAGAGAGAGAGAGAGAGAGAGAGAGAGAGAGAGAGAAAGAGAAGAGAAAGAGGAAAGAGAAGAGAAAGAGAAGAGAGAGAGAGAGAAAAGAGAAGAGAGAGAGAGAGAGAGAGAGAGAGACGCACACAAAATAGATAAATAGAGAGAAAAAGAGAGAGAAATAAAATAAATAGAGAGAGACAAAGAAAGCAAGAGAGAAAGAACAAACAGACAGACAGAAAGAAAAGAAAAAGGCAGACGCGGCGCAAAACACACACGACCCCGCCCCCCTTCCATCACCCTCGATCTCAACTACAATCAATTAGAAGAAAGGACGAGGCCATCTTCATAAATCAGAAGCCCCTCCCTCGCTAATTTACCAACTCGGAATGACACCTTCCTCTTCGCCCCCTTCCCCCCCCTTCCCCCCCTCTCTCGCTGCCTCCCCCTTTCCCTCTCCTCCCTCATCCCCTCCTTCTTCCCCCTTGCTGCCTCCCCCCTCTCCTCACCCTTCCTTCTTCCCCTCTATGCCTCCCCCCTCTCCTCCCACCCTTCCTTCTTCCCTCTTGCTGCCTCCCCATTCCTCTCCTCCCTCATCCCTCCTTCTTCCCCCTTGTGCCCCCCCCTTCCTCCCTCACCCTTCCTTCTTCTTTCCCTCCCTTTCTCACCCCTTCTCTTCTTCCCCTCTGACAATTTCCTCCATCGCCGTTCCATTTCTCCTCCATTTTTCCCTTCCCCTTCTTCTTCCTTCCTTCCTTTTCCCCTTCCTCGTCTACCCTTCCCTCCCTTCCTCCCCCTTCCCCCCCTCTTTCCACTTCCCCATCTTCCTCCTCT